ACACCATCGGCTTCTGAGTACTGAAACTGGAATTAGAAACAGAACTGCGTGGATGAAGGACTCCAAAAGAGAATTACTGGATCTCACTCTCAAGTTACCAAGAACCTAATGGCAAACAGACCTGGGCATAAAACGAGTGTTCTGAAGGAGCTTCTTGAATCTATTTAGATGTGTATAGAAGCAATACCACTATATGCAGATGGAAATTTCATCTAGATTTCAGTGCCGTCCAGAGAATGCTTCTGAAATATCAGTACTTCTGCAAAACCCTGCTTTGTGTAAGCGTAAACCGCATTCTCGTCTAGCAGGATCATTAAAAAGCAATTAAAGTTTGGTAAAAGTTTTCCCCCTTCCACAGAGCACTTAACATCTTTTTTTGAACAATCCGTGAGTTCTTTCTACCTGCCAAGACAAAATCTTCACAACGATTATAACGGCGTGGAACAGAGCCGCTGTGAGCGGCCATTACATGTACAGGGACGTTTAAACGCTGCAAAGTGGTTTCCTGTGACCCAGATATTACTGGTAATTAAACGGTATAACCGCGCGGGTGGGCGGTAATGGAGAGGGGTTAACGTCCTGCCCCCGCAAGCAGGAACTTTGCGAGCTGAGAGATTAACCCGTAATTCACTGTAACTTGGTCTCCAAGAAGATCACACGGTGGTAAGGCAGTATCCATCGGCCAGAGGAGTGTCCATTAGCCGCCGAAGTGTGCCAATGGACACTGTCTGGCTAATGATCTGCTTGGCCGTAAGATCTGCTTGGAGATTAGCCCTAAGTACACATAATGTAGGCGTGTGGTTACTTTGTATTAGTAAGATCCAAAACAAGTTTCAAGTTTATTTATTTCACCAGGGAATACCTCAGATCCATTGATCTGCTTTTCAGGTATCCCTGGGCACACATTAAAACATACAATTTCATAAAAATACAAATCGAACCCAACAATATACAAAAACGTTACAAACATGTACATATACAACACAGTCACATTATAGGCACATTTAGTTCATTTTCCAAATTCAGTCCTCTCCACTAGTCTACAGTCCGATTTTCTTTCTAAATGATGATGTTGACGTGATCCGTAAAACCGCGTATTACTGACGTGAGACGGACCGACGTCCTAGACCAAAGTCACAACCTGTTTGTGAGGATAGAAAGTGTTCAATTATCTACAGCAGATTCGGACCTGCTTATGGAAGGAGACTAATTGGTTACTTGACATCACAGAAAAAAGTGCATTATGAAAAACCAACTTCTTCGTTTGGCGATTTTTCCCTCTTCTTTTAGCCTTTTTTTTTAGTGTGACGTCGTTGTCGTCCAACTTAGTGTGACTCAATAAGAGAAGAAAAGGGACCCTCGGAAATGAAAATTCACTATCAAAACAGCGCGAATGGTAGAGAAAGGGCAAAAAGTCTCCTCAATGTTCTCGTAGCTGATTATAATTGACGTAATGGATTTTAAGAGCATCTAGATATGTTTCGATGTTTCCCAGCATCGCTTTGGAGACGCCGTCTTACTAATGGAGCAGGCCGGACATTATAGTCTTACAGGAAATTGAATGTGCCATTCAGATGAAAACAAGCGGAAACAAGAATTCGGAGATCTCGAACCTCCATGAAATATATGAGTCTTTGTAAGTCTGTAACCGGCACATCTGTTTTTCCTCAAAATACAAAAGTTCTGCTGCAGTACCAATGTCAGCCACCAGGAGGCCCATACTTGATCTTGACCTTCGGCTTCCTATGACTTACCAGCATACCAAATATCATCACAATCCACGAAGGCGATATGGAGTTATGCTGACTACAAATGTGCGGAAACACAATCACACAGACAAACAGACACACAGACAGACACACAGACGCGCCAAAAACAATACCTCCATTTTTCATGGAGGTAATAACGCTGCCATAGAATTACTACCTCGTTATCATCATCATCGTACCTACCTGAACAATGACAATATAGTTTATTGCAAATTCGTGCCCGGGGGCTAATTGCAAATTGCAAACATAAAAGAACAATGAAACAGAGTATAAAATAACTAAAAACTACATGATAAAAGGTAGTTGTCTGGAGCTATAGCTATTTCTAAAACTATGTCTAAGGGGTTTGACTTCTCTTTTTTTATACCATGGAAGACGTAACAATGACAATAACAATGCATATTCACGCCCTACATGGGCCAAACGCACTAAGTTAGATAACTGAGTGAAAAGTATAGAAGGAACAAGTGTTATATTTCTTCTGTGCTATATCTATATCTACAGGATCAATATCTCTTCTCTCTTTTTGAAATATGTATGAACAACTTTACATATTTTTTCCTTAGAGAATACCACCCAAAATTACAATTTAGAAGGAAAATAAGGGGAACCCTATGAGCAGCACATATCCATTATTTCGCTGTTTGGACAATAATTGCGCCGAGAGGGTGACCATTTATCTACAATTAGCTCATAATAAAGCCCAAATGAAGCTTCCATTTCGCTAATAGGTCTGCTCACAAGCCAGAGGGGATAGCTTGAGACTCCTAACCGCCCAAATTCCTTGTTCGAAATCTTTTTACAGTGACAGTTTCTTTCCCGGCCCCGTACGGCCAACCTTTGGAATTCCCTCCCTGACAAGTGTTTCCCACCAACCTACAATCTACAGGCTTTCAAATCAAACGTTCACCGCCATCTCTTAACATAGCCATGTTTCTCTCATATTTCTAGTTCGATGCCGAGAAGTGGTCGTATTGAACCACTCTGTTGAAAAAAAAAATATCCACAGATCAGCAGTAGCTTCTCCTAACTTTGTCCACAGATCAGTACATGGTAGTTAATCAGAAAAAAACCGCTTAACTTTAAGGTCTTACAAATTTAAAACGTCAGAACCTGCCATCGTGCTGATTCCTGAGCACTTTGAACTCTATTTGATAAAAAATGGCAGGAGGATTGTTTTAGCACTCAGCCATGCGTATGGGGTGGTCCAAGATGTGGGAACTCGGTCTGAAGATGAAGGATGTTATCTTCATATGTATAGTATCTAAATATTGGACTTGAACTTGTAACGACAGTTTGCAAACTTCTGCCCGTGTCTACAGGAGGAGCATCACTGACGTGACGATGACGGAGGAGCGGACACGTGACATGATCAGCCGGGCCCGGCAGGCCTGGCTCACCGCTCTGGTGGACGAGATCCTGCAGCCGGAAGGTAAGAACCCTAGGTCTAACCAACAAAGTTTTTTTATTGTTCATACATTGAGGAATATAATCTGTATCGGTATAGCCGGTATAACCGCCACATAATACAACACAAAGTTGTAGCACACCCAAGTATCTAAGACGTACACATAATGAGATGATAAGTTAACAAAGACAAAGCAAAGTTTGCAACGGTACCTTATATAAGGTTAAGTATTACGTACATACAAGCACCATGTAAATGGACAAGATCCTACAGCCGAAAGGTCAGGAAACCTAGGTCTAACCATCAAAGTTCGCCAAGTTTATAACGATACGTACTATATGTCTAGTCTCCACCAGACTCTTTTGCAGGCTGACGAAATAGTAGAAATCTGCCTAAAAAGAATGTAGCTGAACAGAGGAGTTGGCCGACCATACATCCACTTTGCCTTCATAACGATTTCTCACAGACTCTATGCAGGCAAACTGCCAGCTACATTCTTTTTAGGCCAATTTCTACTACTTATTTAGCCTGGGAAATACTGGTGGAGACTACAATATGTCATGATAGTTACGTTTATATGAACACCATGACTGACAATGAGATCGTGTAACCCGAAGATGAGGAAGTTACGAACAAAGTTAGCAAAGTTTGCAACGGGTTAGTTACGTTCATACGAGCAACGGGAGTGACGAGATTCTCCAGCAACCGATCCGTCTCTGTCTTGTTAAGACAAAGGACTGATATTACATACTAAGTATGCGCCGTGACACACAAGTTAGTAAATCCCCTTGATTGTCAGTTGGCTGCAGAGGAAATTATCTGTAATCCCCTCTTAAAGCAGGGGATCCTAGCTTCAAGGACGATTTGGCTGGACAGTAATGATCACGCCGCGACTTGAGAAAAATCGATCACATTTCTGTTCATTAGTACAAACGTATTAAGGTCCTGGTTAGTACAAACGTCTTGTCAGATCCAGCCATTATGCTGATTCAATACTTCTCCAGAGGAAAGCATTTCTTTAAAGCTGACACTTAAGATAATAGGTAGAAAGTAGGGCAAAAACTTTCCATAACTATCTTAAATGTAAGCTTTTATTAAAATGCTTTTCGTTTAAGATGTACTAAAATGGCTATCATCATAGATTGGATATTAACAAAAAATGCTATAAAAATACAAGTATTATCTACTAGATAACGTTATTCATGTGTTTATGACTTACTTTTAACTGTTTTTATTGCTTCTATGTGACATGCAGTGTATGTATTCGGTGTGCACGGTATCAGCATACTCGCCGTCTAGTGCACACCACTTATTGTTGTGTCATAATTTTGAATAAATAAATTAATATGGTATATGAAAAATTTAAACTGTTTTCCAACTCAAAATTTGACTCACCAGGAATTTTCGACTGAATCACTCAGTCTTCCTCAGCTATCTGACCCAAATGATGTGGACATGTGATTTTTCCCACGTGTGACGTCAGCAAAGGGTCAAAGGTTGTCTGAAGTCGATATCGCCACCCGTCCCGGTTGAGCGATGGTTGAATGCGCCCTGTTGGAGAACAGTTTAAGTTTTTCATAATGTAATTTACCAACTCAGATGAACTTTCATGCTGAATTAACATGGTTGATTATCCTCATGTGGTGCAGCCACAAAGCGATCAGGTATCGACGCGATGGAGGACCACAGACTGGCGCAGGACACCCGGACCGCGTGGCAGCGCCGCCTGCTGAAATATCTCGTAACTGCAGACCCCCGGATCCCATACCCTCAACGGTAAGATCATCGTACCGATCCCTGATAAACGTTTGAGCTAAATAACGCTTGTTAGATTCATTTGTGCTCGATCAGTGGCGGTGAATGATTTTCAATGTTTTGGTGGACCATCTTTCACAGAGTAACACTGACTTCCTGGGTTTAAATCACACTGCAGTCTTTGGCCGTGTCTATACGGAACCACCCAAGGCGCGATTCGGGTAACTCACATTCCTCACATCTGGTCCACGTGCAACACACACCTGTGAAACCGTGTCCGAACACAATACGCTTGAGCTACATTTATTGCTGTTTGATGATAGCACGCAAGGCGGCGTGTTATTAATGTCAGAGGTCAACGACCTGCTTGCTGATGCCCCCCTCCCAGCGTATCTCGGCCGAATGCCGACGTGGTCCCGCCAGAGGCGGTGAAGCTCGCCCTAGAAGGGACACATTATTTGACCATTACTGCTCTTTAAGTTGCTGCCACGTAAAAGTTGGTATTGCATATAAAAAAGAAATATCACCCCGTAATCCATGACCAGGCGAAGTCACATTGAAATCACATTGCGTTCAGACGCAAATCGCGATGCGGGGAAAGCGATTCGAAACCACCTCTAGAAGTGGCTTGGGATCGAGGCGCTTTCAATGTGATTTCGGAGCGTTCAGATGGAGCCACTTGAAACCGGCTTCGGGGTAAACCACATGTAAACCGCCTTGGGTGGTTCCGTATAGATACGCCCTTTGATAACCTGATGACCTAGACTGACTTTTTGCCTACATATACGTGTCCAGGTGCTGTGTAAAGGAAATGCGGAAATTATGGACGAAATGAAATATCAACCGTCTTTTCTAAAGAACCAGGTTCTAAGTGCACTTTATCGACCCATTTACAGCTAGAGAAGATTATTGAACTGGCAAAACATTTGCTCAGTCCACTCGTTTTGTGCTAAACCGTTTTCCTGTGCTATAACGGATGTTGGTGCGTTTCCTTCTTTCCTCCTCTGGCCAGACGCAGCATCACGGACCGGACCATGACGGAGGAGCGGAGCCGGGACCTGGTGGCGCGCGCCCGGCAGGCTTGGCTCACCGCACTGGTGGACGAGATCGCGGAAGGTAAGGGGCGTGTACGTGTGTGTACATGTGTGTTTGTGTGTGTGTGTGTGTGTGTGTGTGTGTGTGTGTGTGTGTGTGTGTGTGTGTGTGTGTGTATGTGTGTGTATGTGTGTGTGTATGTGTGCACTGGTGGACGCACTGGTGGACGAGATCGCGGAAGGTGAGGGGCTCTCTACCTGTAACGTTACAGTAATAACCGTGTGTGTGTGTGTGTGTATGTGTCTGTGTTTGTTTGGGGGGTGAGGGGGTAGGAGGGTAGGAGCGGAGCCGGGACCTGGAGGCCCGCGCACGGCAGGCTTGGATCTCATCCCTGGTGGACGAGATCGCGGAAGGTGAGGTTTACAGGGGAGCAACCTGTACCTGTATGTGTGTATGTGTGTGTGTGTGTATGTGTGTGTGTGTGTGTGTGTGTGTGTGTGTGTGTGTGTGTGTGTGTGTGTGTGGTCTCTCAGTCACTGACGAAAGCTAGTGGATACTAGCTGAAACGTCTGACCGTTTCCAAAATGATATTCAGTTGCTTGAGTAACTGCTTTTTGGCGTAACTTAATATGTATTTATACTAAAACATTAGTACCTGTGTGTATGAGTTTGCATGCAAAAGTATCTACATGTATAGTAAGTGTGAATGTGCATGTTGGTGTATCCATAGTAACCTGTGTATCCATAGTAACTTGTGTATCCATAGTAACGTGTATCCATAGTGACTTGTGTATCACTAGTAACTTGTGTATCCCTAGTAACTCGTGTATCCATAGTAACTTGTGTATCCATAGTAACTTGTGTATCCATAGTAACTTGTGTATCCATAGTAACTTGTGTATCCACAGTAACTTGTGTATCCATAGTAACGTGTATCCATAGTAACGCCACGCCCCTCCCTGCAGCCTCCGGCCCCAGTAAGCGGCAGATCACAGACGTGGACGTGACGTCAGACCACAGTAAGGAGTTCACGGCGCGACAGCGGACAGCCTGGCTACACAGGCTCCTCAACGCCGTGCAGGGACAGTAGCCTCGCACCCGCAGGCGCCTGGACGCGCGGCTGGGCCAGTAAGGGGGTAGCCTCGCCTCTCAGGCACCTAGACGCGGCTGAGTACTAGTGTGTCCATGTAGCCTGGACTCCAGTCTTGTTAGCTTTCACTGCACGAAAAGGTGAAATTACCAAACGTAGGTAATGGATAGCAAAGTTCTTTGGTCACAACCATTTATTTTTCACGAGCCGATGTTTCGATGACCGTCTGTCATCTTTATCAGGGCAACTCTGACTGGTTTAGATGATTGCCCAATTGAAGATGACAGACGGTCGTCGAAACGTCTGCTCGTGAAAAAATAAATGGTTGTGACCAAAGAACTATCCTATTCATTCGTTTACCAACCTGATGAAATTGTTTACGGGAATGTAGGTCATGTTTACTTTGTATATAGTATCTGGCTTTACAATGGTAGTAAAAATAAGTCACGACCGTAGTCAGGAATTACCGTACTTGACTTTTATTTCCTACCATTGTAAAGTCAAGTAGTGTTTAGCAAAATAAGCAAAGTAAACATTACCTTACTTTACTGGTATTTACTGCAGTTGGTAAATGTAGGTTTTTGTGCATTGTTTAGTCCGCTCCCGGGGTAGCGGATCTTCGGGAGCGGGCCAAAGCTAACAACACTGGACTCCAGGCTCCCTGGACATGGTGCTGGGCCAGTGAAGAGAGACCTCTAGCGGATAGACAGGATCTGCACCTAGCCCTGACTAGTGGACGTTGACAATGACTTGTTGTCTAACTAGAACATGTTGCACCGGTCCTATTTACACACTTGATTATCATGTTCAGAGATCACCGATCAGGGTTACATATGCTACACAGGCATAGACACGGGAATAAAGAGATTCCCTTCAGAGAACGGAAAAGAATAAATACAGTCACTAAAACTAACGACTTGGTATGAAAAGATATGTCAGAACATGAAAGGAGAAGCCGGTACTGTGTGTACAAGCCTAGGATAACCGGCTTCTTCACTGCCGGACAAAACAAAAAAAAGACATCAGAGGATTTGTGTTCCAGTACTTCTAAGTAGAGTTGCTAGTTTCTTAAATGTTAACTTTATAGCATGATTCATTCATTTCGGAAGATGTCAACTTCACATATCATTACGAGGTAGTCTATTCCAGAAAGCAAAACATACATCGTTGAAGAGGTTCATCAGTCACGTAGAATTAACAGTTAGTAGAAATTCTTCAATCAGTGACTGTATTTAAAGGTAAAAACACGTACCTCCAAATTTTCGGTGTCGACTGTACACCTTTCTCGAGGAGTGACCTAGTCTCGCGAGAACACGAGACTAGGACGAGACTTGTGTGGATCTTCTGACCTCCCCCGCCTCCTTGCGGAGTAGGGGTAGGTAGGACTTGGGCAAAACATACATCGGCGTTGTAGCCTCGTCCGGTTAATCTTTGCAAAGATAGGCCAATGGCATGACCATGAGATTCCGTAAGTCTTTTACCCAAAAGTCTAGAGACTTAGGAGAATTCAGATTACTTCATTACTTACTGCTAGTCGACTCTCGTAAGAGCGATGCACACATCTGGTTTCACATCAATAAAACTACGTTGTTCATACCCAACGACTTCTCCAAGATACTATTTCACTAGCAAAACACGATCTGTTGTGTTCATTTCAGTACATACAATAGATAGCATAGCCTCGGCAATTACTTCATTGCTGTAGATGAAGTCACACTGCAAACGTATTGTAGCAGCGCCCTCTGCCAGAAACCGTCGGTGCTGCAACTTATACAGATATTACACCATGCCATTAGAGACAAACTTCTCTGATCAATATTTCTGGGCAGTCAGATACCATCTTATCTTATCTAATTGAACCGCGACGGGGGCCGACATCGTCTACAAAATACCTTTGACCAAGGGTT